TCTGAAATTGAAAATTGATAAACTCCACGAGAAGGTAAAACAAAAATAGTTTCTTTACCAAAAGGACCTCCATGAATAGAATCAATAGGTCCTTTTACCTCATTAATTCGAATATTAGCCAAAGTATCTTGAGCAGAAATTTTTATCCATACTTTCTTAGCTGAATCAGAATTAAATGTAAAAGTATTTGTTTGAGCAGGATTTTTAGTAATTTCTTTAGATGCTTTACCATAACTAACAGTTAAAACATCTGTTGTGTTGTCTACACTCAAAGCAATTATTTTATCTATATTTTCTAGAGGTTTTACAGTATTAGTTTTAGAAACTTTTACAACCTTTTTATTTTTAAGTTTTTTCTCACTTAAATCAATGCTTTCTATTGGCTTATCTTTTTTCACTAAATCAGCATACGCTGGATCAACACCTATTTTACTAGGATAGATAGTTGGTGTCGATTTATTTTCGCAGCTAAATAAAGTTATTTTAAATAATAGGCAATAAACTTCTTATTCATAATTGGGGAAAAATAAGGTAAAGGTACATGTTTGATCTTTAATTGTACTTCAATGTCACCTATTTCGGCTGATAATAAGACATACCCTTTCATAATTTCACCATCCAACTTTACTAACGCCATTCAGAAACTTATCTATATTTCTTCCAAATGGTCCATCTGTATTCTTACTAGGAGAAATTATATTATTTATTCGAATATTAGCTGTATCTGTTGCGGGTACAATTTGTATAGAAACATCATTACATGAATTGTTTCTAAAATAATATCTTTGTTCTTGTTTAGCTTCTTTAAATAAATTGAAACTTCCTTTTCCATTTTTAAGCTTAAGTTCTGTACCGTTTTCAATAGTTTGAGGATAATTTATACGATTATGAACTATAGGTTTATTTTCTGGTTTTTCATTTGTTTCATTATTTTTTATTAAAAAAATAAAAATTGAAATAAAAGCTATTATAAGAACAATAATAGTGTTATATCTCTTCATTGTTCTAAATTTGTATATAACATAAAACAAATTTAGAACCAAACTGTATGTTAAATCACGAAATTACTGGAAAAGGGAAAACATTAGTTTTCTTACATGGATTTTTAGAAAGTATTAAAATTTGGGATTCACTTGTTAATAAATTAAGAAATGATTATCAAGTCATCACAATTGATTTACCTGGACATGGAAAATCTGATACAACTCGTGATATAAATACAATGGAAGAAATAGCTGATGACGTTATTGAAGTACTAAATAATTTGAAAATTGATAAGGCTACTTTTATTGGTCACTCTATGGGAGGATATGTAACTTGTGCAATTGCAGAGTTGTATCCAAATAGAGTTGAAAATATTGTTTTAATAAACTCATCTACTTTACCTGATGACGAGACTAAGAAAAATCAGAGATTAAAAGCATGTAAAACTGCTCAAGAAAATTTAAAAGGTTTAGTAACTGTAAGTATCCCTAGTTTATTTGCTGCACATCATCGTGAAAAATTTAGAGATAGTATTGAATTTATTAAAGATATTGCTCTAAAAACACCTATTAATGGAGTTTGTGCTGCGCTAAAAGGAATGAGAGAAAGACCTGATCGTTCATCTATATTATATGATTTTAAAGGAGAAATATATATTATTATTGGAGAAAATGATGAAACCGTAAATCCTGAATTATTATTAACATTAATTCCAAACTCTCCTAATATTCATCTATTCACTAATAAAAGTGGACACATGGCTTATATAGAAAATTTTGATGATGTTTTAGCTATTTTAAGTTCTATTTAGCGCTTATTCAAAAAAAACTCTTTCATTAATAAACTACATTCATCTTCTAAAATACCTGATATAATTTCAGTTTTTGGGTGTAGATTTCCAAGTTTATTTTTGAAACCTCTTTTATCATCAGATGCACCATAAACAACTTTAGATATTTGACTCCAATACAAAGCTCCTCCACACATTATACATGGTTCTAAAGTAACATAAAGTGTACAATTTTGTAAATATTTACCTCCAAGATAATTAGCTGCAGAAGTTATTGCCTGCATTTCTGCATGTGCAGTAACATCCGTCAAAGTTTCTGTAAGATTATGTGCTTTTGCTATAATTTTATTATTTGATACAATAATTGCTCCTACAGGAATTTCATCTCTCTCAAAAGCATTTCTTGCTTCATTCAAAGCTATTCTCATATAATAATCATCTGTAAAAAGATTCTCCATTTTTGTATCAAATTTAAAAAACAAAAATAATCAATAAAAAATAGTAGATTTAATACATTTGTATAAATTGACAACTATTCTATGAATCAATCAAAATATATTTTTGCTGCTATTGTTACTTTCCTCTTATGGGGATTTTTTAGTTTTGGGCTAAGACCTATTGCAACTTATCCTCCATTAGATATTTTATTTTTCAGACTATACATTTCAGTTCTATTTCTAGTAACTATTAATGTATGTTTTAGGCAAAATAAAATAAAAAAAGATTGGAAATTATTTTCTTCTTTAGAAAAAAAGAAGAAGAAAAGACTGATTAGTTTAGTTATTGGTGGTTCTCTAATTTTAATGACAAATTGGTTATCATATATTATTGTAATGAATAATATTAGTGTACAAGCTGCTTCACTTTCTTATCTTGTATGTCCAATTATCACAACTTTACTATCATTTATACTATTACATGATCATTTAACCAAAGTAAAATGGATTGCAATAATTATAAGTTTTATCGCTTGTATTATTTTATCAATTGGCCATTTTGTAGACTTAATGTATAGTTTAATCGTAGCAACAAGTTTTGCACTGTATATTATCATTCAAAGAAGTTTAAATATGTTTGATAGTTTTAATTTGTTAATGACGCAATTATTTGTTGTATCTCTTATCATGTTACCTTTCGCTTTCGTTTTTTTAGGAGAAATTCCTACTGAAACCATTTTTTACCAATGTATTCTTATGATTGTCATTTTATTTACAATTATTCCTATGTTTCTTAATAATTTTGCATTGAAAGGAATTGATTCATCTACAGTTGGTATTTTAATTTATCTTAATCCTATTACAAACTTTTTACTAGCAATATTTTATTACCATGAAAAAGTTTCTTTTCTTCAGTCAATAGGATATCTACTCATATTCTTAGCAATCATCGTCTTTAATTCAAAAACAATTTTAAAATTATGTCGTGCTAAAAAATAAGTTTTAAATAAAATAAAAAAAGAGACTATAATAGTCTCTTTTTTTATTTATCTAGTTTATTGTATCCTTATTTAATTCATAAAGTATCCTTAAACCTTTTATTGTATGTAAACGATCATCGATATCTATCTTGTCTGTTAAAGGTTTATAAATCCCTCCAACACCACCTGTAGAAATAACAAGACATTCTTCTCCTACTTCTTTATTTATTCGATCAATCATTCCTTCAACCATACTCAAAAATCCATATACAACTCCTGATTGCATACAAGATTCTGTATCACGTCCGAGTAACTATTTCTTGGTGCTATAAAGCTCTTCGATAGTTGTATTGAGCTGTATTTCCTACTAAGGAATTAAGAGCTGTAATAATACCAGGAGCAATAACAACTCCTGTTACTTTTCCTGTTTCATCTAGACCTAAAAAAGTAAGAGCTGTACCAAAATCAATGACAATTTTTTTACCAGGAATTCCTTTATAATGTGCTGCTACTGCATTTGCGTAAAGATCTGTTCCCATTTGGTTAGATGATCGTATAACCTCTGAAGGCGTATTACGATCAACAATCATTGCTTTTAGCTTATGTATTTTTTGTAAAGCTATTTTTACACTAATTGTTAATGGAGGAACAACCGAACCTATTACAATTCCAGTAATTTCTTTTTTATCAATACCAAATGGTTTGTACATATTTGAAAACTTAGCGTATAATTCATATTCTGTACGGTAAGGTTTAGTATTAATAGTCCAAGTTATAATATCCGTTTCGCTTTTAAAAACAGCGAAACGAATATTTGTATTTCCTATATTTACTGCTAGTAACATTATTTTGTAAATACGTTATTTTCTGGGTTAACATCTGCCAAACGTTTTGTTGGATCAATACTAACTTCTTTTATATCTTTAGATACTTTAAAATCATAAGTTGGCTTTGTCCAAAACCAATCTTCTAAAACTGTTCTTTTAGCGCCTTGGTATTCCACTAAGTTTTCAGCAGGTTTTTCACCTCTCATCTCTCTTAATGGAATATAAAATAATTCTTTTGTTCCATCAGTATATTCAACTAATACATCTATAGGCATTGCAAAATCAGATTTATTTGCAATCGTTACAGTAATTAACATTATCACAGGCGTTAATCAATTTTTCTTGTTGTATTTAAAAATAAATTGAAATACCCTTTTTAAATTAATACCAGAAACTTCTTCAGCAACACGTTTAAAATTCATTTCCTGAAGGGTGTTTAATTTCCAGATATCATAAAACTTTAAAATGTTTTTCTAAGTTTTCATTCCCTATAAATAACCCAATTGTATTGCTAAAACTTGACCTTCTATAGTAAGCTTCTAAAGGAATAACCATAGTTCGTATTATAATTAATCTGCTAGTAAACTTGCTGTTCTTCTTCCCTGATAAGCCAAAGCGTGGTATCCTCTGTAGCATCAGGATTTGGATTTAGAACGGAATAACTTTTAATTTTTCATAAACATTTAAAAGAGCCCATTTGTTCTACATTACGATGTAAAAACCTTCAATCAAACCATTCATGTACGTTTCATTAATTCCAAATAATTGTTGGTACCAAGAATGTGCAGCTTCATGAAAAATAGTACCAACTAAGCTTTCTAAATTTCTGTTTCCAGAAATTAAAGTTGCAGTACCATATTCCATTCCTCCGTCTCCTCCTTCAATAATAGAATAAGTTTTCCAAGGATATTCTCCAAAATGTTCAGAATTATAATCAAAGAATCCTAAGGCATAAGGCATCGCTTCTTTCCACGAAGATCCTGATTTATCATTTTTGTATACTAAATAAATATCTACACCATGTTTAGATTTTCCATGATCTACAACAAAGTTTTTATCTGCTGCAAAAACAAAATCATGAATGTTTGTTGCTTTAAAATTCCAAGATACTTTTCCGTTATTTTCTTTAATTGTTGGGTTAGTTACATATCCTTTTACATTATTTGGATTTTGTAATTGTCCAGATGCACCAATGACATAATCTTTGTTAATATTAATTGTTACATCAAAATTACCAAAAGGAGCAAAAAACTCTCTTCCAACATATTCATCTAAATGCCATCCTTCTGGATCGAACTCAGCCATTTTTGGATACCATTGAGCCATAGAAAACTCTACACCATCTTTTGAATTTCTTCCAGAACGGCGAATTTGTTCGGGTACTTGAGCATTCCAAACCATATCAAAAGTTGCAGTTTTACCACTTTTTATAGGTTTAGCCAATGTAACTTCTAAAATAGTTCCATCTACTTTATAATTTACATCTGTACCATTTTGTTTTAAAGATGTTATTTTTTGATAACCAATTTGATCTGGTTTCAATTCAGTAATACGGCTAATCAATTTAGGATTTTCTTTAGTTCCTATATTTGTTACCATTCTTTTATCTGGATCAGAAATATTTCTTAATCTATAATCCATCATACTTCCTGGTTGAAAAGCATTAAAATATAAATGGAAATAAACCTTATTCAAGCTTTGACCTGAATTATTAGTATATTTCAACTTCATCTTTCCATCGTATTGATATGATGATTCTTTCATATCAATTTCCATTTTATAATCTACTTTTTGTTGCCAATATCCTTTACGTTGTGCAAAAGAGAATTGAACAAGACAAATAAAGATTAGTAGAGTAAATTTTCTCATTCCAACTAATTTCGTTTTACTTAATTTATCAAAATTACAAAAATCATTAAGGTAGACTTAGCATTAGAACAATAAATTTGTTTTTATCAATCAATTTATTATTAATCAAAAAATTAATTTACATTTTAGTGTAACTTTTTTTTATAAATTGAGTCTTTACTAGTATAACAACTCAAGTTACACACGTGAAACTATTTGTTTAACCAAGGAAGTAAAGAGGAGATTTGTAATCGATCGGTTAAAAAAAAAATGGACTCTGTAGCCTCAAAAAGAACTTTTATTTTGATCTTTTTTCTAAAAAATGTTAAGTATATGCAGGAAGCTATATAAAAGATATACATCTTTGCAGAAGAATTGTATTGATTAAATGGTTTTTGCAAAGTATATCATCATATTTCAAAATTTCAAAATAAAGGAAGTTTTGAAGGTGGTTAGACGACATTTATATTAATGAATGTTTGACTTTTACGTCAAACAAAACTTTATTTATGTTGGATGATGTTAAGGTTTTAATGATTGATTTTGATGAAGGATGATGAAAGATGAAGAATTAAATTTTAATGTAACAAGAAGTATTAGATCAGTTTTAGCAGACCATATTCGGATTAGTTTTTAATCTATATGTTTTAGAAGTTATTCGCACCAAGAAACTCAGCAAATGCTGAATATATCTTTAATCTACAGCAAAACACAATTATTTAGAGCAAAAGCGAAATTAAAAGAGATTGTATTATTACAAAAGAAAAAGAGAAATTGAAAAAGAAGGGATAATATATCAAGACTATATCAAAGTTAAGAATTAAACCAAGAGAAACTTTAATCCGTGGCCGCCATTGATAGCTGGAATAGAATACAAGCAAGAATGGATGTAATTCCAACCACAAAAAACTCTAATTACAAATGGTGGTTATCTGCTGCAGTATTTTTTATTTTTACATTATCTACAACTATTTATTTATTTACGAATAAAAAAGAACAGAACATTCCTAATACAGATTTCGTTAAAAATGAGGTAAATATTGATACTGCAAAGCAGAATTTAGATCATCATTACTAATTACTCTACAAATAATACATTTAGCTACTTATGTTACAAAAATAACGTAAAAGCTATTTTCTACTATTGAAATTGAAGAAAAATAATACAAATAATGAATTAGCTTAAACAAAAGAAAAAAAGATTCTTACAAGTCATTAACAAAAGTGAATTAAAAGCTATTATTGAACAAAAGAAAAATTCTTGTTGCAGCAAATAAATTAGATTCAATAAAAAAAAACTAAAAAAGAAACATAATTATGTTCGATCGCTGATCTTATCGCTATTATATTCTATAGAAAATAAAGAAAAATATAAAAAAAGAGTCAAACAAGTCAAGAGTTGTATCTATTGATTGTAATAATAAATAATTCCTGTATATATACTTACTATAAATAATTAATCAATACACTAAACATTACACTTATATTCTTTTGTTTCTTATTTCAAACTTAGCCTATTCTCAAAATTCAATTTGATTTGAATGATAGAATAGCTGACAAAATAGTCCTATTGTACAAGACAGAATTTACTGAATTACACTTATCATCAGGACAATTGTAAATAGAAGAGAAAACTGCTATGAAAAAAAGATGATGAAGTTTGATGAAGATTTAAAACAAGATAAACTTACCATAAATGAAGCTAATGAAAAAAAGAAACATTAGCAAAAGTATTCTACTTAATCAATGGATAAATTAAAGAAATTAATTTCAATGTTAGATGATATCATAAAACAACAAGTTGCATTTTCTATCATGAATGATGAAGATCCTATTGAAACTAGCACAGATGAAGACATTAGAAAAAGATACAAAATAATCAACCAAATAAATGGATACGGATCTTTTGGATATATGGCTTTTACAGGACGAAAAAATGAGGAATTAAATAAACATGAAAAATTTTCGAGTAACCTTACATTTGGATTAATGTATGAGCGTCAATTATCTATTACTAGTCCCGTTAATTTTTTAGTTGGAGGATTATTTTCTTGGAGAACTTATCGATTAGATGACAGCATGATGTTTAATCGTGATGAAGATGGAAATGTTGGTTTAGTGAAAAGTGATAAAGCACTAGATAAATCAAAATTAAGATCAGCATATATTTTAGCTCCTATAGGATTCAAATTCAATTTTTCTAAAATAAAACAGGTTACTGAAAACTTTGCATACAGACCAAAATCTAAACACTATATTGCTGCTTATGCATACGGAGGGGCTTTACTTTCTTCGAATAATATTGTAAAAGGAAAAGGTATACGTAGCAGAGAAAAAGGAAATTATAACGTCAACAATTTCATTTATGGAGCCGAAATAACTGTTGGTTTAGGATTAATTAATGTCTTTGTGAGAAAAGACTTTAACAACTATTTTAAAGAAAAAACTTTTGACAATAGAAAAATGCTTCAATTTGGCATAAATATTGGAATATAGTTAATATCCTCAAAATAGTTTAAAAAACTAAATATTTATTACATTTTTATAGATCAAAACCTCAGTTAATCTGAGGTTTTTTTTCTTATAATTTTTTAAATTTTTCTAAAAAAATATTTTAAAAATAAGTATATTATTGAGAGAAAGATAATAATGGTAAAATCTAATTCAAAGTGGCAATTTCAAATTACCATCATAATATTTTTAATATTTAGATGATTAACTCGCTTTTGTCAAACTTTTGGTTGAGGAAATTTATTATCAAAGAACCATTCTAAATTAGATCTCATAGATTCTTCCCTTCTTGGTTTCTTTTTAATTATACATCTCACTTTTAATCTTACATTATTCAAATTAAAAGATGAAACATTTGAAATAAGAACAATCTTCAAAAAAGACGAAATTCCTTATCGTGCAATTTATTATTTATATGAAGAAGAAGATATACTTCGATTAAATAAAACTCAGATTCTAACGATACAAACTAAAAAATCTCGTTTCAGATTAAGAAGCTTTTTCGATGCTAATTACGATGAAGTAAAAGAAAAAATAATAGAGAAAGCTGAACAATATGTCAATCTATTAGCCTAATTTTTTATTGGGCGACAGCCAGGCTCTCCATTATATCTTTTACAAATGGAAACAAATACTTTTTATAAGAATCCATTTGTAAAAGGATGCCATTACGATCCTTGTCGCAAAAGCAATCAATTAAAATTTATCGTTATTATTTTTTAAGTAAATCAATATATTCTGTATAAAAACCAGAATAGCTAAAGACATAAAAAACATAAAACCTACATAAATAGCAATTTGCTTATCCTGACCAATTTTTATAAAAATAAAATAAGCCAATAACGTTCCTATGATTTGCATAATAACACTTTGCCAACCTATTTTTAACAACAGCCTCTTGTTTAAACCAGCAATTGCCTGATAAATTGTAGGAAAAATCAACATTACAAATGCTATAATTTTTAATATGATATCCATTGTGATTATATTTTTAATTCTTGTTGCATCTGTTCTACAACTTCATAAGTTGCAGGACAAATAAGCGTATTTTTTAACGTTAAATCATTGATTTGATAAAACTTCTTACGATCTGTATGAGGATATTCTCTACATGCCTTTGGTCTATCTTCATAAACCAAACAATAGTTATCTGTATCTAAAAAAGGACAAGGTACTTGTTGCAAAACATAATCATTGTCCTCATCAATTCTTAAGTATTTTTCTATAAACTGACTTGGTTTCAAACGAAAAACATGTGCTAACCTTTCTATATCTTTATTTGTAAATAAAGTACCATGTCTACAACAATCGCACAAGAAAGACAATCAATACGATCAAAAACATCTTCATGAATTTCCTCCATCTTTTGGTCAAGATTTTTTGGAGGTTTCTTTTTAAGTTTCTTCAAAAATGCTTGATGCTCTTTCTGCTTTTGTTTTGCTTTCTGAAAATATTCTTCTAAATCCACCAATTATTTTTTTAATTCTTCTACAGATTCTACTCCTCTATGACGACAAAACTCTTCTATCACATTATGATGTGTAACTGTTTTATCTTTAAAAAAAGTTGTAAAGTATTGTTTTTCTTCTTCTGTAGCTTCTAACTGATTCAGGATATTCATTAAGTGCATTTTCATATGTCCTTTCTGTATTCCTGTTGTAACCAAAGAGCTTAATGCAGCAAAGTTTTGAGCTAAACCTGCAACAGCAACAAACCCCATTAACTCTTTTGCACTAGGTTTTCCTAAAATGGCTAAAGCTAACTTTACTAAAGGATGCAGTGCTGTTAATCCACCAATTGTTCCAAGTGCAGTTGGTAAATCTATCCAAAAACGAAATATACCATCTTTTACTTCACAATGTGTAAGGGATGAATAAGAACCATCTTTTGTTGCGTAAGTATGAGCACAAGCTTCTACAGCTCTAAAATCGTTCCCAGTTGCTATAACAACAGAATCAATCCCATTCATAATTCCTTTATTATGTGTAGTAGCACGATAAGGTTCTATTTCAGCAATACGCACAGCTCTAGAGAATTTTTCTACAAATTCTTCTGCAGAAACATTCCCATCAGCTAATTGTTCAACTGGACAAGAAACTTCTGCACGTACAATACAATCTGGAGTATAATTAGATAAAATACACATTACTATTTGTAATGAATTTTTATCTTCTTGCGTAAAATTATTATCTAACTCTATTTCGTTTTTCAGTGTTTTTGCAAACTGTTCTAAACAAGAATTAATAAAATTAGCTCCCATTGAATCTACAGTTTCAAAAGAACCTTTAATCTGATAATAATTATCTAAATCTGAAGTTTTATTAATTAATTCAAGATTCAAAATACCTCCATTACGCGAACGCATATTTTTGGTAATATCATTTGTATCTTCAATCAATTGATTTTTTATTTTCTGTTCAAATGCATTTTTTAATTGCTCAAAATCTCCTTCAAACATAAAATGCACATGACCTAATTTTGTTGTAGAAAGAACTGTGGTTTTAAAACCACCTCGAGTCAACCAAAATTTTGCTGCCTTAGAAGCCGCAGCAACTACAGAAGATTCTTCTACAGCCATTGGTATTGTATACAACTCATCATTAATTAAAAAGTTTGGAGCCAAACCAAAAGGCATATAAAAATTAGAAATCGTATTCTCAGAAAACTCATCATGCAACTTTTGCAAATCATCTCCAATCATCCAATACGTTTTTAGAATATACAAACTTTCAATCGCCATCAAAATTCATTCACTACCATTCTATTTCCTTCTTTTGATAGGTTTAGAAAAACCTCTACTGCTGATGCTCAATTCAGTTGTATATGTTAGTATACCAAAATACAAAGCTGTTTACAAAGAGGAAATGAGCATATCTTAATATCTATCAATGGTTAATTCTGATAATATTTATTCTCTTTATAAGTAAATTTTCAATTGAACATTTCATAAACATCAGCTAAAATCCAATTATCAAATTTGTCATAACTGTACTTTATTTCGTAATCAAACAAAAAAGATTTTCCATTCTTGAAATATTGCTTCTTGATTGATTCTATTTCGTTTCTTAAGTTAAAACTAGCTTCATATACCAAATCTTTATTCGAATCAAAAGATTGAATTTTAGACAATGATTTTTTATCAAAAAAAGTAACTGTATTTATATTTCCTCCTATCTTTTGTTGAAAAATAGGTTCATTATTTTCATAAATAAAAAAAGTTTTATTTCCCTTTCTTCCGTCAAAAGATGTCAATTCATTTAAAACCAATAATCCACTTTTATTGTAGGTAAGATTATTTTCAGAAATTATTTTACCTTCAATCTTAGTCACTATTTTATTCAGTTGATTAGAATATTCAAAATTAGTTTCGTAATTCGTTATCGAAGAAGATTTATTCTTCAAAACTTCAACCAAACTAACTAAATTATTATTCGCGTAAATTATAGTTTTTATCAGAAGCATAAGTTTCGGATCGTCACAGATTACTTACAAAGTCTTTCTTCTCCCCAACTAATAATTTCGTATCCTTGTACACATAATCTACAAAACTATAAACACCTAATCGACCTCTATAATCTAAATAATTTGTTTGCTTATCTAACAAACCATATCGATTAAATTCTAATGAAAATTGATTATATAATTCGTTCTCATAAAAAGGCAAAGTCGCATATTCACCATTAATGTTTTTCGCTGTTGTAAGTATATTCTTTACTTTTCCATTCAAATGAAAATCACTTAAACTAATATTGGTTTTATATTCATTTGTATGAATCTCCTGAGCAGAAATAACAATAGAAACGAAAAAAGTAAAATATAAAAGAAAGTTTTTAAACATCTTATTAACTAAATTAATTTTAAATAAATATAAAAATAATTTTTAGTTGGCCAATCCCTTCGGGCCGGGTTTTCCGTTACAATCTTTCCAAACAAGTAAATAAGTTCTTAAGTGTAAATAGAATTGTTTA